CGTAGAGTGTACACAGGTTGTCTGGCCAGAGTCACTTGTTTTTGATAGTGAAAACCACTGGATTTTGTGTCCTCATAATGTCTTTGTTTCTTTTTGGTCGGCAGTGATGATTTACTCTTCCAGCAAGCATTTTACAGTCTTAGGGATTGAGTGGTTTTGGGAAAATATTCCTGAGACTTACATTTTTTTTGCTTTCCTCTTGTCTCCTGGGTTGTTCTTGTTCTTTGGGGTCGAGTGCACCCTCAGTGAGTTTGGAGATGACAGCAAGTTGGGCAGGAATGTTGATCTGCTTGAGGAAAGGAAGGCTCTACAGAGGGATCTGGACAGGCTGGATCGATCGGCTGAGGTCAATTGTATGAGGTTCAACAAGGTGAACAGTCATGTTCAGCACTTAGGTGACAACACCACCACACTATGCTACAAGCTTGGGGAAGAGTGGCTGGAAAGCTGCCCAACGGAAAAGGACCTGGGGGTGTTGGTTGACAGCAGGCTCAATATGAGCCAGCAGTGTGCCCAGGTGGCCAAGAAGGCCAAGAGCATGCTGGCTTGTATCAGAAATAGTGTGGCCAGCAGGACCAGGGGAGGGATCGTCCCCTTGTACTCATCACTGGGGAGGCCACAACTCAAATCCTGTGTCCAGTTTTGGACCCCTCACTGCAAGAAAGACATTGAGGTGCTGGAGCATGTCCAAAGAAGGGCAATGAAGCTGGTGAAGGGTCCAGAGCACAAGTCTTATGAGGAGCAGCTGAGGGAACTGGGGTTGTTTAGTCTGGAGGAGACTGAGGGGAAACCTTATTTCTCTCTAAAGCTACCTGAAAGGAGGTTGTAGCGAGGTGGGTGTTGGCCTCTTTTCTCAAGTAACAAGTGATAGGACAAGAGGAAACAGCCTCAAGTTTCACCAGGGGAGGTTTAGATTGGATATTAGGAAAAATTTCTTTACTAAAAGGGTTATCAAGCATTGGAACAGGCTGCCCAGGGAAGTGGTTGAGTCACCATCCCTGGAGGTATTTAAAGGACATGTAGATGTGGTACTTAGGGACATGGTTTAGTGGTGGACTTGGTAATGTTAGGTTAACAGTTGGACTGGATGATCCTAAGGATCTTTTCCAACCTAACTATGATTCTGTGAATCTTTTTTCTTTAAGTCAGGTTGTTATTCATCTTCTTGCTGCTTGATCATTTAAATGAAGTCATATTTGCAGTGCTTTGTAGCAATTAACATATAACATTCCTTTAAATCTTATTCTGCTCTTGCTTCTGATGCCTTTATGCACACACATACTTCCTTACATATTTAATTCATACTAATCTTAACATTTTTTAATCTATCTCTACATTTCCACCCTCATTTTTGTTAAAGACACCTTCAGTAATAAAAAAAGATCACCTTCAGAGAGCAGTTTGCTTGTTGACTACTTCAGTGTCAATTCCAGTAACCTGATGGGTGCATTGATTTATGCTTGTAATGCTGTGATCAGCTCCTTCGATGGCAGGATGAGGTGACAAGAGATGAAGTCCATTCACCTCAATGTTTCTAGTCTTAAAGGTACTGTTCAATCCAGTTAGGTTCATAATTCCAGATGAAAAACATATGAATATATCCAGAGGCATTATCCTGGGTCATCCAGATTCCTATTGAAGATTTCCCCATTTGCAGTCCCAAAATTCATGACTTATATTTGTTTTAGATGCTACCAGCTTGGGGAGATGTCTCTGCTTTTTAGTTATGAAGTTACATACATTAGGGGGGAGTGGTCTGTCCCTGTGTAAGTGACTTTATCTGAGCTAAATATCTATACTGGCTATATGGAGAATCAACTGACAGAAACAGACACTTCTGATGTATGATTTGTCTCATTTTAAGCAGATAATTTAAATGGGCTATGTGCTTTAGAAACAAAATGATGTAGGTGTGTAAAATTATGTGAGTGAATCTGACAGCTGTTCCTTCTTAGTTTTAATGTTGAAAATTATATACTTTATGAAATGTAGAAGTCTCTGTTTTTAATATTTTTCATTAATAGTTCTTCCTAGAATCTCCTTTCAGGATTCTGCATCAAGAAATCGATCACGATTCAATCACTTTTCTATTCCTGGCTCTTGAGAAGCATTTTTCTCTTCTTCCTTCAATGGGCCATAATAAGTAGGCAGGTAATACCTAGGCTTTAGGAGAATCCATCCCTCTTTTTGAAAGTACAGTTTAATTTACTTAGCAGTGTCACTTTTCCACACAGCTGGGGCCAAAAGCTGATATTTAGGATTTCATCATGTGCTTATACCATTTACCATGTGACTTTGTGCAATGGAAGGTAACAGCTGAGGAATCAGAATTCAGCTCAGCCAGCTATCGCATAAGAGTATGAACAGGAAAGAAGCTGTAATGCTGATTTACAAATGCATAAATTATCAGTGCCAAAACTTGGAACTGTCAGAATGATCCTGATGAGATAGTTGTACATGTAATGTATGAAATGCAACAGGCTCTCTTACACCCCTCTGGCTGCACTTATACACACATCCTTCCGTAATAGGTACGCTTCCTTCCTCTTCCTCCTTATGTGAATTCCTCAGTCGTACTTCTGTTTCATGAAGGATGAACAAGATGAAGACCATTTTAGTAATAAAATACAAAAGAAAATGTTTACACACATGTGCCACTTCATGTCACACTCCAGAACAGAGCATCTTGTTGAATTGTCTTCTTTACTCCTAGAAGGGGCAAAATTTGTATGCTGAGTCTGCACATATATCTTTAAAAATACATCTTTAAAATGTAGGATTCCTAAAATCACCTCTGAGTGTTGGGCTGATGTGATTCATGGCCAGAGGACATGGTGCAATAGTGAAGTGGTAAACACAGAGTATGCATGAACAGAGGTCAAAGGGTTGCTGGATGCAAAAGATTGACCAGGGTTTATTTGTGTTTAGTGGAGTATAGAATAGGAATTTGTATTTAATTTTATGAAAACTGGTCTTGTTTCATCATTAACAAAATTTAAGTTGAGCCCTTTACAAATGGCAGCTGCAAAGTACCCATCTTATTCAGATGGAAGTAACTAGCTAACCTATACTATATATTATTGTCAATATCTTGAAGAAAATATATGTTAGGACTGTTAGGTTTTCATCAAGTCACTCTCATTTCCTTGCAAGGAAGTTTGTATTCTTTTTGATTACCCTGTCTGTGTGGGCCTGAGAACTGCCATACCCTAAAGGACAGTGCTGCAGCTACAAAGGTATGAATGTAAACAAAAATGGGGGTGTGGATGGAAATTAAACAGTCAATTTATCCAGAGGAAACAACATTAAAAAAAGCCAGCTTTGTTTCATTTGCATGAGGAGCAATGAAAGCAATGAAACTGTCAGAGTTACAAACTGATCAATAAGGATAAAGGTTGCCAGAGTGCTTCACGCTGTTGCATATTCAAAACAAGTAATGTTTAGAATTTTACTCTCAGTTGGCTATTGTTCTTCTTACACGAAACTAGAACTTAAATATTTTCATTTAGTTTGGGGTTTTGGATATTTACTGTTTCATGTCTTTTGTTCTTTTAAATGTAAATTAACTATTGACTACAAAGCTCACAGCTCAGCCATAGTATTTTATGTCCTGAGGCATCGTCCTTTGCACTGTGCTATAAATTCTGTTTGGACTTTTAAAGATGATGTGAAACTTGCAGAAAGTATGCATACTTCTGGAGGGAAAGGGAAAAAAGTGATTCATGCTCAAGTTCAAGATTTGAGGTTGGTAAAGCCTTGAGAAACTTAAAGTTAGAGCACTCACCTAGGAGATGGAACACTTGGCTGACATTGATCTGGAGGGGTAGAAAAGCCACTGCACCTTCTGGGACAGTGCTGCACCTTTCAGTGCATGATATACTTTGAAGGACACTCTTGTTTAAAAGTGGAACCACTGTGCAATCATGAACACAGGAGTCACACTCCAACAGGAGAGAAGCAAGCGGTAGCATGATTTTGTTTTTTTAGTGGTTGAGCATCTCAGCTGAGGGGAGAGACTTGTGTTCCAGTCCCTGCCCTTGGAGCTCTTTCTGTACATTATCCAGGAAAGAGGTCATTTAATATGCCCACATATCGCAGTAAGAAAGGGCACAAAGAACTTCCTTGGTTTCAGTGTCATAGCTTCAGCAGGAAGGCGGGATTGTCTACCCAGCTGTTCTATATCCTGGCATTCTCCCTGGAAAAGCCAGATGTGAAGAAAAAGCCTAGAGGAAGGCAGTGGAACTAGGTCACACATTTCCCAACTGTGTGTTTGTAATCAAAAATTATTACTAATCCGACTAGACACCACCAACCCTGTTTTCTTGCCCCTTTCCTAACTACAATGTAGATGCCATGTTTTTATCAGACCTGATATTATTCAAATATTTTGGATATTCTCTGAGAATATTTATCAGGGCTTTACTGAAGGCCTCAGCCATACAAGGAAAGGTTAAACCCATTTAGGGTTGACAGTGCTAAGAATTCCTTGATGAGACAGCGTCAGGCCTAATTCTGAAAAGTGTGCAAAGCATAAAGCTCATTTGAAACCATTGTAAGATCAAAAATAGGCTCAAAATCATCATCTGAGGTCCTTGATTTTGCTGTTAGAAACTTCAGCTCCACCTACTAGCCACATCAAGTGCTCCAGACTGTCCTAGTAATCTAGCCAATGAAACCTAAAACTTTTCTCAACAACATTATGTGTACAAATTAATTAAACATTTTTGTCCATATGTTTACACCAGACCACTTTCTTCTCATGGTATTGATCAAAAAAACAATTGGTAGGAATAGAATCAAGATGTCTAAAAATTGCTTTTGATTTTTCTTGTTCTTCCATATTAGATTCTAATAAACTGGTACATATTGAGTATTAATGCAGACCTGTGAATTGTAGGGTATCTCTAACTAAGCTTCTTTTAGTCGATACATTCCAGTGTTCATAGTTTATATAAATGTGCCAATGTCATGTTAACATTTTAAAAAAATTTGTTTTGTAGACTGCAGTGATGATGTATTTCGTTGCAACACAGGAAAATGCCTAAATTATACCTTTGTTTGTGATGGATATGATGACTGTGGAGACCTTAGCGATGAACAAAACTGTGGTAAATGAAATTTTTATGCTTTTCTAAAGTCTTTAAGATAGCAGTATTGCCTGAGACAGCAATCCTTTTCCTTAAACTACTAGAAGAGTAATATACCCTGCTGTTATTCTTTTTGGGCAAAATAAAAACAGCTCACAAATGCTATATGCAATTTGAAAAAGTTTAAAGGAGAGCTCTGGGTTAATCCAAATTTTGAAGGTAGTGGTATTTTGAAGAAATATTCTGATTTTCAATTTGTTTTAAACTAATTCAAGATGTTATGGTTGCTTTCTTGCTAACTTGGCTGAATTTAACTGAGATTAAAGCAAACCATAAGAAGCTACACACTGGCGATGCCAACTGTTTTGTAGCTGAATGGTTTTTACATAAACTTCATAGTGAACTTGTATGTTTTGATGATCAAATTCTGCTACTTTCAAATCCTGTTTTCAGTCAGATTTGTATGTTTTGCCTCCTTATATTTGTCTTTCTTCCTACACTTAACTTCCATAGGAAAAAAACATGAAGTTTTGTCATAAAAAAGAATAATCTTTACATGTAAATATTGGAAAACTTCAAAAGCCACCTGACAAAAATCAAGCTTTCTAAATACTTTGAAAATTAAAATATTATCTCTCAATTTTTTCTTTTGCCTTTCTAAGGAAAAGCACAGAAAATCTCAAAACTGAAAATCAAAATATTTTTTTTTCTGAGATTTGTTTTATGTTTCTTCTCCAAATTAAATATATTCTAAGATCTTTCACTACTTTTTGTCAGTTTTGGTTGTTTTGTTTTTTGGTTTTTTTTTTTTTTAATAAACTGTTTTAAATTAAAGACTTTTCTAAACATTAGTCTGACTCCTACTATTCCTATCTTGAGATAGATTTTTTCTATATAAAATTTAAGATCTAACTTTTTGTACAGGCTATGAATGGGTTTCATAGCAGATTTGGCAGTCTGCACTGTGTCTATGCTCCCTATTTATTTTGGTATAAACTCAGCTTGCTCAACAGAATGCTCTTCTTTATTTGTAGAAGCATTTGGGTAGAAAGAGTAAGATGAAGATTGGAATAGTTTCTTTGTAGATCATTCTTATGGAAAATTGTGAGTGTATGCAAAAACCATAGTTTCTGATCAAGTGCCAAATATGACAGTTGAGAAACTTTTTTTTTTTGCTTCTTAGTAAAAAGATAAGTATAGGGAATGACTTTCTCTGGTGGCAACTGAAAATGTTGGCTAACTGAAAATCATTCCATGAAATGGGAAGCCAGAAGATCTTTTAATCTGCTTAACAAATCTTAGAAACTTGTTTATTTGCAAATGGAAACAACTGTGTACCTGAGAGAAGGAGTGAATACATCACTATCTATACATATAGGCAATAAGATTCAAAACATATGTGACTACCATCTGCAAAAAAATCTGGGGGTACAGAAAATCTCTTATTGTAAATTACTAATGCAAAGTGGCTCATTAGTAAGAATGATTAACTTATAGTCATAGAACAATTGAGCAATAATATAAATTAAACAAATGGTAATTTTTCCTTGTTTTTTTTTTTTGTCCTCACATGTCGGTTTTATTTAGATTGTAATCCAGTGACACATCATCAGTGTGAAGATGGGAGATGTATAACAGCTGATTGGGTATGTGATGGTGACCATGACTGTATAGACAAATCAGATGAAATCAATTGCTGTAAGTTCCCTTAATCTCTAAATTAGTTTGTTTTTTTCTTTAAAAATAAAAACCAAAATGTAAGATAACTAGTATACTTATTACTTGTAGGGCAGAACTATAAGCTTATTTGATTTCAGAAGTTCACACTTGACATATGTTCCTTCTGATAGATAGCTGCAGCAAAATAAACATTTGTTGCCATTGTTGAGAAATATTAGCATTGTCTTGTGTTTCAGATTCTTGTTAATTACAGAATTAACTTTTTGTTAACTGTAATGTTCCTATTAAAGAGTAATGAATTGATGTATATAACCTCTTAAACTATAGGCATTCTGAATTTGTAATAGCTTTTTGATGTATCTGTATGTGACCTATCACACCTTGTCAGAGTTTGGACTTCTGTCTGTTCTAATGATGATGGTGTGTATATGCAGAACAACTATACTAGAATATTGATGAGGCTGCAAAGTCAAGTTTTGGGGAACTAGCATATGTTCTAATGTGAGTAAGGTTATGATAAGACAGATGCTTATGCTGCTTTGATTCTTGCTGCTATTCAATGCTTGACCTCACAATCACTATCTACAATTTTCCCCGAAATCTGAGAACCTAATCTGAATAAAAGAATGTAAGTAAGTGGACAAAGAAAAGGTGACAATTTATATATGGGTAAAAATTATGGTTTTTTTTTCCTTAGAAAAGCTGAACCTTCACCTCAGCCTCTTGCTAATACCTGATATATATAGTTTCAGTCCCTGTAGTTAAAGATCAGCACAGCTGTAGGCTATTGAAAACATAGCCTACATATAATGAAAAATGTCTAGTGACCTTCAGTGCTAAGCAGTGTTATCAGCTCCTCCTAAAATAATTTCAAGATGATGTTAAAAAATAATTAAGACCTTAATTAACCTACATTGATCAGAATATCATCTTTTTTTCTCTCTAGCATGTCATAGTCAGGGTCTAGTGGAGTGTAGAAATGGGCAGTGCATTCCTAGTGCGTTTCAGTGTGATGGAGACAATGACTGTAAAGATGGAAGTGATGAAGAAAACTGCAGTGAAAGTAAGGATATCCCTCATTTTACTCTTCTTACTGAGCCTACCATTGACTGCTTTTTTCTGAAGTGCCTTTATCTAAAGCTATCTGACATTTACTTTCTTTGCCTTTCAAATAACTTTCAGAGGCTGGTTGGTGTCTGCTTTCACACAGGAAGTTGTAAGCAGAGTTTTATTAGTTTTTAAAAATATAAAAAGTTAAAGAAGCTGAGGTGATATTTAGCATAGTATTTGGCTATCTGACATGATCAGCTGTTACTTGAATTAATACCTGTTCATATTGTCTGCAGCAATTAGATGCTACTATAACGGGGATTGTTGTCATTTGAGGAGGAATTTTCTCATGAAAATGATTTTTTCTTCAGATCTTGGGATTTAGAAAAATTGTTTTCATAAGTAAACTAGTGATTTAGTGTGACTGAGGGAAAATATATGAGAATGTAAGTTTTCACAGCTATCTAATAGCTGTCTCATGATGTACTGTATGAAAGAAAAGGAAATCAGGCAGTTTCTTGAGAGTATTTCACTAAAAATATTGATGCATCATCTGGACTACAAGTCAGTGATGTGGTTTTGTTTTCACTGCTTTTTGCCTCTGTGGATGTTGAAAGAAATGGTTGAAAAACTTTTTTTTGGTAAGATGAATAGATAAAGATTCAGGGATACTAAATGCAGAGGAGTAAGAGGGGGTGATAATTTTGTAGTCAATGATATCACTATATTCTAAAAGATTTTTCTGCTTAGCATTAAACTGCAAAGTTTTTAAATATGGAAGTTTTCCTTGTTCTTATTATTCATTCTTCAATGTGCAAAAAGCTCTGTCTAATATCTTGCAATATTGTGTAGAGAGAAATTCTTCCGTTATGCAACTGTATCCTGTCTGTTCTAAATTTTCATGAGAATATGTAGACAGAATTTAGATTTCATCTGGATTATTCCTCTTTAGTTCCTTGTAGAGTCCATGTAAAAACAAGGCAGAATTCTTGTTTGTAACTATTTTTTAAATATTTCTTATGTATGTCGTTGATTTCAGCAACTACAGAAGATGTAATAAGACACGCACTTAGTGCAAAGACTTCTCTGCAAATCAAACAATTTGCATACGCCTAGCAGAGGCAGTGAAGTTAGGACTGAAGTGATCTGGAATACTGGTTTTACAAACACAGTAAATATGTGAAATCAACATAGAAATTTGAGCTCAAAATGTAGTGACTTGCCACTTGCCTATATAAGGATACAGGGACCTTGTGTAATAGTACAAGGATATATGTATAGAGTTTACAAATTGCCATTTATCTATATACAAATGAGAAAAATAGTTTCCTTTGCTACATACCTTAAGGAAATTTAAGGTTATGGCATCTATTAACATTACTGCTGTAATTAATTTTGTGACAATACAAATATAATATAGATGTACTCACAGCTGGTTCTGTGATCCCTTCAAAAGACAGGGTAGAGTGTGTTTATAGAAATTCATCACTGATTGCGCTAAGATCAAAAGAATCTACACTGTGGCACAGGGATTTTTAATGAGTTGAGAAACTCTTCTGCTGTGGGATAAGGAGGAGCAAAATTTAAAATTTAAAAATTACTTTTAACGTAAAAATTTGTGATAGCTTTAGAAGTCAAGAGGTTTTCCCTACCTAACTTTCATGTTCCATTTTGCAATCAGATGCACCTGTAAAATAAGACAGGCAATTGCTATAGTAAAAGAAAGTACCTCCATTTCTTCAATATATAATGTGTGAAAGGAAGTAAATTCACATAATTATGAATAGAAGTTCTTTGGGACAAAAAGGTTGTCAAGGTCATTGACACAAGATGTTTCTTCAGTATCTTCTGTATGCCCAATATAAGGATGCCATGACTGAATGGTTAATGTTCGTGGACAGTAGTGCAATACAAACATTAAGCAATAGTTGCAATAAACCATTTTAAACAGGATTAGATGATAAAATTCAACCTGTTCAGTCTCTGTGTACAGAATAGTAAATTAAATGACTAATTTTGCAAAAGTCATATGGAAGAGATAATTTAATAGTTTGGAAAGGCGCTATCACCACTATGAGACAGAGAGAAGTCCAGGGATCTGTCAGAGAAACTAACTACCCAGATAATGTGCTCAGAAACTTTTTGGGGAAGTGCTGGTTTTAGTTATTCTGAATTCCATCTTTCAAACCATAGCCTTTTGGGTTTCTTGTTGTTGTTTGGTTTTTAAGCAGCCAAAGAAGGACAATAAAGCTTCAGTTCTGATGACCTTTCTTCAGGATGGTTTTTATTGTCCACCAAAACAATCATAAAATGAAAAGCAGATCAACTGAATAGCACTGAAGAATAATTTCCAGAAGGTATTCTCTTTCAGCTAGACCTATTGTTCCCTTTGAGATATGATTTACATAACTTTTCATACGCTGTCAGAGGATCATAGTAAATGCCTTTCAGAGATCCATACCTCTCATTCAGAAACTGGCATATAAATTCTTGTATTAAACATAGGCGTAAATAAAAACGACATCTGGACAGTGCTGCACACTTTTCTTCCTTACAACACTTCCTTACTGCATTTGAAATGCTGTAGGGTACTTATTCAGCTATGTAAAGGAAACACTTAATTGTAATGTAAACTCTTCATTTTCTCATCACTACACTCCAATCATTTTTATTAGTTGGGTAAATGATTAGAATAGTAAATTTCTATTTTCCTCAGGTCAAACCCTCTGTCAGGAGGGAGACCAGAGATGTACTTCCTGTCCTGATCCCTGTGGAACTTCCCTCTGTGAGATGAGAAACAGCCAGACAAACTGCAGTAAGTAGGTCACATGCTTCATACTGTCACTGTTCTAGGGTGTTTTAGAGTATAATGACGATGCAGGATAGGATACAGTAAGTAATACTTTAATTTACTCTCCAATGAACATGTGTAATGATTAAGTATTGAAAAGTGCAAAGCTGAAACAAAAGTTTCATCATAACTCTTGATTACTGATGTACTAAGAGATACTCATAACATTTGACATCAAGATATTTTACCTTCTGTGAATTTTTGATATGTTCTTAATGGATGTTTACAGTTGCACCTTTTCTTAACATTTAATGACATTCGGTGTTTACACAAAGTAAACAACATAGTGTAGTATAAAGCAGAAGCCACTTGTTTACTTTCAAAATGTAAGAAAACATGGTACTGTGTTTAGGAGTCTGGATAACTTTTAGCCCGCTTATGAAGGAATAATTTTGATATTCAAACTGGTAAAACTAGTTATTCTGGCCGATACATATTGTAGAGGATCAGGGTCTTCAACAATGCATGTATTAATTTTTATGTCCTGTACTATACCGCTCCATGCAAGCCTCCTGTACCCACTGTACACTTGTTCTGAGTAGCTCTCTTTCTCACTTGTGCAATGCAGAACTATGAACAGACACTCAAAAGAAATGTACTTGGCTAGGTTTTGAAACTGGGACAGAACTGTATTCAGAATTATTCCGAATTAATTAAAACTTGGTCATGTGTTAATACAGTCACACCAGTTCAGGTCATGTCAGCACATGGGCAGTCTTGCCTTCACTTACATATGAATGTGTAGATATATCCTATAATTGCTTTGTGCCAAGTAGTTATTTCTGCAAAGTATGGTTTGGTACCAAATGGTAGCTTGTTTGGATAATGTTATCCATTGCAACCTAAATGGAATATGGGGAGGTCAACTAGTCCAAAGTTTACAGTGTTTGTTTGAGACAGGCACCTTTCTTACTGGGGCCTTTAGATGATGCTAAAGTAAAGATATGAGATACTTGGGCATATATACTTTACATGTGCTTTTATCAATGCTGCTTGTAACTCTTTGAAAAGGGACAATCATAAGTACTATGTTTAACATTAGAAAGAAGTTCATTTGGTCAACTAGTCCAAACTCTTAATCAAAGCAGTGCCAATTATGTCATGTGGCCTGTGACCATGAGTTTTGAGTATCTCCAAGTGCATCTGAGTTTTGAGTATCTCCAAGGACAGAGATTCCGTAGTCTTTCTGTGAGACCTGTTCCAGTGTTCAGCCATTCTCATGGTAAAATGCATATATGTAACTGAAATGGTCTGTGTTTCAATTTGTGTCTTTTTACTTTTCATCTTATCCCTGTGTACTTCTAAGAGTCTGGCTCCATGTGTTTTACACTTTCCCATTAGTTAATTGTTAACAGCAATAAGATCTCCCCTTAGCCTTCTTTTTTGATGGATGAACAAACCTTTTCCCAACTTTTGCCTGTAGATCATTTGATCCAGTCCCCTAACCTGCATGGTGGATCTTCATTGACCTCATTCCAGTATGCCAATGTCTTTCATGAATTGGGAAGCCAAAAGACAGGACACAATACTCCAGATACATACCAGTGCTGAATAAAAGGGAATGACAGCCAGTCATCTTGTTAGAGACAGCAATCAGATTAATCAGGCATGATTTTCCCATGATAAATCAATCCATGCTGGCTGTTCCCAGTCACCTTTTTAACTTCATGTGTGAACATGTCTTCCAGAAAGAACTGGTTCCATAATCTTTCTTGGACTGAAGGTAGACTGACTGGACTGTAGTCCCCTGGATTCTCCTTCTTGCCCTTCCTAATGATGGACGTGATGTTTGCATTTGTTGTGGTTTGAGCTCAGAGGGCAACTGACGACCACACAGCTGCTCACTCCCCTCTTTGCCCCCAATGCTAAGAAGAAGAAAATAAAGCAAAAGGCTTGGTGGTTTGAGCTCAGAGGGCAATTGAGCATCATACAGCCACTCACTCCCCCTTCCCCAGCACTAGGAAGGAGAAAATGAAACAAAAAGGCTCAGGAATTAAGATAAGGATAGGGAGAGATGAATCACCCATTATGCTCATAGGCAAAAGGCAGACTTGTTAGGGGAAGAAAAAAAGAACATAGATTTATTACAGACACTAACAACAACAACACTACTTAACAGACACAGTAGGGGAGTGAGAAGCATTACCACATCTTGAAAACACCTTCCCGTACCCCTCCCTTCTTCCCAGGTTCAGCTTTGCTCCCAATACCTCTACCTCCTCCTCACAGTGACACAGGGGGCAGGGAATGGGTGTGCAGTCAGTGCTGCCACTTCTTCCATCTCAGCGGGGGGTGGGGGGGGGACACTTCTGGCATTCTCCTCTCGCTCCAGCATGTTCCCCCTTTCACAGGAGGCAGTCCTCCACAAATTTTCTCCTATGTGAGTCCCTCTCATGGGCCACAACATTTCTCTAGCTGCTCCAGCGTGATACACCAACTTTCTCTGACAGGAGTCCCTCCCAGGTAATGCAGCCCTTCCTGAGCTGCTCTGGTGTGTGACACCCCCGCACTCTACAATCCTCCCAGTGCCAAACTACAACATGGGGGCTGCTTCTTCCCACAGGGTCCCTTACTTCGGATTCAATCATATGCTCTTGTGTGGGCTCCTCCACAGGCTGCAGGTCAACATCTGCTCCACTGTAGACCTCCATGGGTGGCAGGAGGGGCCAGCCGCTGCCATCTCACTTCAGGCTGCAGGGAGGCTCTACACTGGTGCACCTCCCCCCTCCTTTCCTCCTCTGTTCTTCCACTGAACTCGGTATTCACATAGGTGTTACAACTCTTCCACACAACTCCAACTACCCTCTCAGGTTCTCCTTCTTAAAGACATAATTGCAGAGGTGCAGCCACCATCACTAATTGGCTCAGCCTTGGTGCAGAGGTGGGTCCAACTTTGAGCCAGAAGAGCTTTGAGAAGCTTCTCACAGGGGACCACTGCTATAGCCCCCTCCCTCTGCTACCAAAAACCCCTGCCAGTCACAGAAACCCAGCACAGCCTTTTTCCAGTGATCAGATGCCAGGTTTGCCATGACCTTTTGCAGATGATCTAAAGCAGCCTTCCAACAACATTCCTTGGTGGAAACTAAGGCAAGAAAAGACATTGAATACCTTGGTCTTTTCCATGTCCCTGATCACTAGTTCCCTTGTCCCAATGAGCAGCAGACCCACATTTTTCTTAAATTTCCTTTTGCTGCCAGTGTACTTAGAAGAGTCCTCCTTCTTGCCCTTTACATTGCTCAGTAATTTCAACTGTCACTGAGATTTGGGCTTTCTAACTCCATTCTTGTATGCTCAGGAAATGTCTCTATGTACCACTTAAGTGCTCTATCCCCTTTTCTGTATATTTTGTTTCTGTGTTTGAGCTCAGTCAGGAAATCCATGTTCAGCCAAGGTGGCCTTATGCCACACTTTCTTGACTTGCTTTGCATTGGTATGGACTATTCCTGTGCTCTGGGGAGGCTCTCCTTTAAGAACAACTTACTGTCCTTCAAGAATGTATCAGTATGATTAATATTCTCACATGTTCCAGGGCCTGCAGTTGTGAGGCATCTTCCAGCTTTCTGAAGAAGGGTTCCTCTACTTCCTCTTTTTGCTAAGACAGTCTGCAGCAGCTGCCTGCTATACTCATCATCTGTGTAGGTCTGTCCTCTAGTCCATATCCATAACCAAACTATTCAGGTGAGAAGGAGTCTTCTAACGTTATTGGAGTAGTATGTGTTGGGTTTTTTTACTTGCCTGTTGTGAACCAAACCATCATTCTCCCCCAAGAAATATTTAGAAAGGGTTATAAAATGGGAAGGAAGGCATCCATATAACACAAAACTAATAATAATCCAATTGATTTAAAAAAAAAAATTAATAAAATTAAAATTTTTAAAACAGTTTTTTTTTTTTTAATTGAAATCTTAGATATCTTCAATGAATTATCTTGGTCATTTTCTCCTCTATGTCTTGCAATTTGTGGTCAGTTATTATCTCCCATGATAGTCTGTCCACCTCCTGGTGAAAAGGAAGCAGTGTATCTTGGGATACATACACTAATCAAGGAGAAATCAAATATGAGATATCACAAAAGATCAAATTAATTTGGTTGATGACCACATCTGCAGTTCCTGCTGAAATCCCTTGGAACTGTATATACTTGTCATCTCCAAAGAAAACAGTTATTCAAGTAGTCTTTTCTTGTCTTTGGTGAGATTTGAAGGTCATGTTTTCCTGATGTTTTAAGGTCAGAATACACGAGTGTTCACTGAGATACGATTACTGAATTGAATAACTCCACTCTAGCTAGTCACAAGTTTAAATGTGTATGACAAGATTGATTCTCTGTGGGCTGAAGGCTCGTGGGAGTGAAGGATGCTTAGTTCCAGATCTCTCTGCCTGCAGGAGAAACAGCAGCTTTAACAGACTGTGCCTCTAAGAACGGATGTTGCTTTTCAGTTTCTCCATTTGAAGATTTGGCCTTTTTATTTGAGCATTACTGACTTTGCCACAAGACTGTGGTTTACCCAGCAACTGGACTTCCATATTTTTATTTGCTGTTTCAAAGCTTCTTTACTCATAATGCTTCCAAAACTTAACAGGCATTACACTAAACCGTGTTTTATATGTTTAAAACTGTAGCAACTTTACGCTTACCCAGGTCAAAAAAAAGACAGCAATTTATAATTGTATTTATTTTTAAATACTTATAAATTAAACTGCTTAGTAAACAACACATAAAATATATCTGATGTATTGTGACAGGATCAACATTGGACTCACAGCTGATGCCTGTGTAGTCACCAGTCGCGCATAAGACAGGTCTTATATTCAGCTGACAAACAAGGCACCAGCAGCAGCCTTACCCAACAAGTAGGAAAATATGTAAATTCCCACAGTAACCTCTAGTTCTCATATACTCAGGGAGCAGTTCTCTCTTAAGCAAATTACCTTTCGTAAACAGCAACTACAATCCTGTAAAAGGCAACCGTCTTTCAAGCAGTGTGACTGCAATTCAGTCTTTCTCACCATAAAAGAGAGCTGACAGTGTTCCTTCTTTCTTGGACTCATCTTCTTTGTGGATAAATCAGTATGAGACTTACTGTGGTCCAAAGCAGTTAGTACTGTGGTCCAAAATCTTTTCCTGACCAATGCAGATTTTTGTATCCTATTGTGTGTATGGAGAGCAATTTTGGAAAATGTTTGAGAGGGTAGGACTATGTTACAAGATAGGGAAAAAAGTTTTTTGACATGTGCCATTTGAGTTCTAAAATAATGTTCCTATTCCATGTCATGAGAAAACCAACAGCTTTTTAGTGAAGATGTTTCCTCATCATATTATGGGCAACAGTCCATAATTCTCAACAGGAGTAACACATAATCTGAATTAGACTTCTGGATCATCTCTCCTTCTCCTTTTCTGGTCCAGTGAGTATTTAATTGTTTATAGACAATGGAGCAGCAAGAGAATTTGGGAGACATTTTTCTTACTTAACATCTGGAAGTACTATTGTCTTTTTTCATGTTATTTTCACTGTTCATATTTTGACCAGAGTTATTTCATCTTTGGTAAGAGATGAGAATTCCCGTGGAAAATGTCAGTTTTGACAAAGCAGTATTTTCTGGCCCAAATAACTCTTTGGTTGGAAAATTCCAAAGCATAGGCCACATTTCGCAATACTGAATATGATGGATGTTCTCCATGTGTGATACTGTCTGATCAGTTTAAGCTGCCACTACGACACAGTTACAACATATTTAGGATAACAGAACAAATATCTGAAGGTAGGGTGTAAAGAAGACAGAGCCAGGCTATTTTAGTGCTTAGTACAGGACTAGAGACAGTGGGCACAAACTGAAACACGGGAAGTTCCCTCTGAACATAAGGAAACACTGTTACTGTGAGGGTTACTGAACACAGGTTGCCCAGAGAGGTTGTGGAGACTTCATCCTTGGAGACAGTCAAAAGTTCCCGGGGCATGGTTCTGCACAGCTTGCTCTAGGCGGCCCTGCTTGAGCAGGAGAGTTGGACTGGATGATCTCCAGAGGCCCCTTCCAACCTCAGCCATTCTATGATTCTTTGAAATATCCCATTCACTCCTGTTACTATGTTTGGAACTAATTCCTATATAGTAGATAGAGCAAGTTAAGAATAAATACAGGAAGGTATTAAACCCAGGCATAATCTGTTTGGGTTTTATTTTGATTTACAATAAAAGTTGCAATGAATTTTATTCCTTGTTTCCCACTCATTAGATTGTAGTTACATATACAGTGAATAAGGGAGTAGCAAGATCTCTTAAACTGTAGGACAGACATCAGAAGGAATGACTAACATTTGGGTTACTTAAATTCAGGCAGGTGTTCCCCTGGAGTGTATGTTCTGTTTGTTACTCTGCTTGTGGATTGTAGGGAATTGGGTGTGATAGTCAAAGTTATTATTTTCAAACCTAAAGACACGTTTGCACATAATGTGAGACAAGTTTTCTAAACACAGTGTGAAAGTTGTAATACTATTTAAAACACGTAAAGAGCTATCCTACAGGGGCATTTCACTAGAATTCACCTAAACTCCTATAAATATGAGGCATAACAAAAGAAAGAATGATTTATGTGCATTTCTACCCTTCAGCCTTGAATGGTATTATGTTACACAAACACAACACTGTATGTACTTTTGTGTTCACTTACTCAGGTTTCATCATGAAATACTGAAGAACATATAATCTGTACACATGTTATGTTTTAAGCTCAGAAGAGAACAACTGGGCATGAAGCAGACACTCATTCACTCCTTCCCCCTCAGGGATGGGGAGGAGAAAATAAAACAAAGGCTCAGGGATTGACACAAGGACAGGGAGGGATGACTCACCAGTTATGGTCATGGGCAAAAGACAGGCTCCATTGGGTAAGAAAAAAAGAACATCAATTTAATTTGAAGATCACCATCACTAAATTTTCCAATCAGACAGAGCAGGACAGTGAGAAATACAATCACATCTTAAAAGCACCTTCGCCCCACCCCTCCCTTCTTCCCAGGCTCATTTTTTCTCCCAGTCCTTCTTCCCACCAGTGGCACAGAGGGACGGGGAATGCAGGTTGCAGTCAGTTCATCACCCATTGTCTCTGCCACTCCCTCCTCCTCAGGGGAAAGACTCCTCACACCCTTTCCCTGCTCCAGCATGGGGTCCCTCTCACAGGAGACAGCCCTCCATGAACTTCTCTGATGTAAGTCCTTCACCCAGGGCTGCATTTCTTCATGAACTGCTCCAGCGTGGGTCCCTTTCATGGGCTACAGTCCTTCCAGCAACATACTGTTCCAGCACAGGCTTCCCTCAGAGTGCTGTCCTTCTTTGGGCTTAGTCACCTGTTCCAGTGTAGGGTCATCCATGGGCTGCAGGTGGGCATCTGCTCCACTGTGGACCTCCATGGGCTGCAGAGGACAGCCTGCCCTCTCACCACGGCCTGCATGGGACTCTGCTCAGGTGCACCTCCTTCCTGCCTCTTCCTTTCTTCAGCTGACCTTAGTGTTTGCAGAGGTATTTCCCTCACAACTCTTCCTCCTCTTGGGTTCCCCTTCCTAAATACGTTACCACAGAGATGCAGCCACTGCCACTAATTGGCTCGGCCTTGGCCAGAAGAAAGTCTGACTTGGAGCCGGGGGAGCTTCTAGAAGCTTCTTGCAGTGGGCCACCTCTCTAGCCCCTTCTCCACCACCAAAACCCCACCACACACAAACCCAACACAACACATCAAGAAAATATGCTTACTGGGGAAAAATCAAAGGACAAAAACAAACTGATCTAGGCATCAGGGGCTGAAGTGTGGGAGGACAGGGGAGAGTTCATCATGAAAAAAAAGGAAATGGCAGTAATGTGACGAGGATTGTTGAAGTCTTTGAACCTCATATACCCCAAAGCTGGGACTAAGTGGCTTGAGACAACAAAATAGCTCAGTATTGGCAGTATGTAAGGATTTAGCAAAGAGGAAAAGCTTTGTGATCCTCAGATTAGAGGTAAATACTAAAAGAGGTTATAACAGGGAATGCCAGTCCAAGAAAGACAGGCCAGTTCTGCTGAATAACTGACTGTTGGATCTTTCAAATTCCTCTCAAAGATCTAGCTATAGGATCACAGAGTTGCCATACTGTGCTGTCAGCTGACAATAGCAACTAGCTCATGGAGAATATTAATCATGTTGTTACGTTTGCCTCCAGAATAAGGAAAGTTATGCAGTCTTTTGATAACAAACTACCTTTGAATAGTACACTTTTTCATGGAAAATTTTCTCATAATTAAAAAGTAAATAAAATGAAATAATTTCACGTTGGCCTGAGTGATAAATAAAAAGGTAAAATTCAGTCTGAATTGAAGTGAAATTCTGTCTGTTGTTTTCTGTTTTGGTGGAAAACTGAAAAATAAATATTTCTGACTACCAATTTGGGAAGAAATACAAAAGCTGTACAATTTCTAAAATACCCTCTCAGTTCAATTTGTTTTGTAATAAACCCCCTAAATGCTGGATGATTTTTGCATATAGCTATAATCTGTGTAATCATATGGACTTGCAGCTGTTGCATTTAATTTGCTCTTTCTTATCATTCTTTTTACTATCAATTATGTCTTGTGTGAATTAAACTATTAGCATGTAGACTGTTTCTTACTCAGTATTTGTGCAATATATAACCTAATTGTCCCCATTCTTCCTTCAGATCTTGGGATGCAAAAATTAAAATAAAATAAAAATCCTGCCTTCACTTTTTTATATAGAGAAATTGTGCAGTCTCTGTCATTAGAGATTTTTCAAGACCCAACTGAATAAAGCCTTGAGAAACCTCATCAGTCCTCAGAGCTGACCAAGCTTTGAGCAGGACGTTGGACTAGAGACCTCCTGAGATCCTTTCCAACCCAAAGTATCCTATGATCCCAGTCATCTTAATTTTGACAATTCCCCTGCCAGTATGAGGTGTGTTATGGTAGCATAGTGTACCAGTAGGAAGTGTGTTGCTGTATGGTGTAGGAGCTCTTGAAAATTATGAGAAACTATTTGAAAAGAATAAATCTGCTTTTAAAGAATGGTTTATTGTACTGTGTTAAAGTTAAGATGTTACTCAGGAAGTTAGTGCATATTGGTAGAGGAATATAAGTCTCTGAATAGGTTATTAGGTAGGCAGAGGTCAAACCCACCTTTCTTTACTGGCATGAATAGGGTCATATGGGGTCTTGAGCTCTGAACCTTGTAGTTTCTTAAGCCTGAGAGGAAATCCCCTAATGGATAAATTTGGTAAATACTTACATAATTATTTTTTCTGTATTTCATTTAATTTCACACCATTTGTGTTTCTTTTTTTTTGTTTGTTTGTTTTCTTTCTGTAAAAGGTCAGTGTGAACCAATTACTCTGGAACTCTGTATGAACTTGCCTTACAACTATACTTATTACCCCAACTACCTGGGCCACAGGACACAGAAGGAAGCCTCTATCAGCTGGGAGTCTTCTCTTTTCCCAGCCTTGGTTCAGACCAACTGCTACAAGTACCTTATGTTTTTTGCCTGTACAATCTTAGTACCAAAATGTGACCCCCATACAAATCAACGGATCCCACCTTGCAGGTACTATACTACATTTAATTCTTTACTGACATTGTCTGTCATATTAGTCTTTCCCAATTTTCTGTTTCCATTGAAAATGCCAAAAATTTTGTTTTGGAATTCTATAGCAGAAGGTAAAGACTCATATCTTAGAAGATCATTAAATGCAGTTCATTATACATGTGTGATTAGTATTTGAAGTATTCAAAACAAGGAGAGGAATAGCAGTTCAATAATTTTCAAAATGTATGAATAGAATAGAATAGAATAGAATAGAATAGAATAGAATAGAATAGAATAGAATAGAATAGAATAGAATAGAATAGAATAGAATAGAATAGAATAGAATAGAATAGAATAGAATAGAATAGAATAGAATAGAATAGAATAGAATATTTTGGTTGGAAGGGACCTACAACAATCATCTAGTTCAACTGCCTGACCAATTCAGGGCTGACCAAGTTAAAGCATGTTATTAAGGGCCTCTTAAACACTGACAGGCTAGGGGTATTGACCACCTCTCTAGGAAGTCTGTTCCAGTGTTTGACCACCCTCTCTGTAAAGAAATACTTCTTATGTCCAGTCTAAACCTCCCCTGACACAGCTTTGAACCATTCCCATGTGTCCTATCACTGGATACCAGGGAGAAGAAATCAGCACCTACCTTTCCACTTCATCTCCTCAAGAAGCTGTAAAGAGCAATGAGGTTGCCCTTCAGCCTCCTTTTCTCCAAACTAGACAAGTCCAAAGTCCTTACCTGCCCCTCACAGGACATGCCTTCCAGACCTTTCACCAGCTTTGCTGCCCTCCTCTGGATGCATTCGAGGACTTTCACATCCTTCTTAAATTGTGAGGCCCAGAACTGCACAGAGTACTCAAGGTGAGGCTGTACCAAAGCTGAACACAGAGGATAATCACCTATTTTGATCAGCTGTTTATGCTGTGTTTGATGCACCCCAGGGTATGATTTGCCCTCTTGGCTGCCTGGGCACACTGCTGACTCTTTGACCCTGCTGTTGACCAGCATCCCCAGCGACTCCTCTCCCAGTTTATACTTGTGCCCTGTGTTACTCCATCCTAAGTGCAGGACCTGGCATTTAGACTTGTTAAATTTCAACCCATTATAGCCCAATGCTCCAATCTATGTGGACCCCTCTGCAAGGCCCCTTGTTCCTCAAGAGAGTCAACAGCACCTCCCAGTTTGGTATTCTTGGCAAACTTGCTAATGTTGCATTCAACTCCTGTATCCAGACCATTGATAAATATATTGAACACAACTAGCCCTAGAATTGAGCCCTAAGGAGCACTGCTGGTGACCAGTCACCAGCCAGGTGTAGCTCCATTCACTACAAGCCTTTGATCCCTGCCCTTCAGCCAGTTCTTCAAGCAGAACACCATGAACCCGCTCATTCCACAGTTATCCAGAGGACGCTGTGAGCTTTGTATGAAGCATTTTCTATTTCTGTGTGCTTGATTAGAATTGTAGCACTATAAAGGGTATTTAAACATAGAATCAATTAATTTGGAACATTAGCATTTGTAATAGTTCCTGGCATTAGTATATCACTTTTCTATGCAGAGCCCTATCCAAATAATATTAACAAAACCCAAGATTTTAATGCATACTTACCTTTCTAAATTAAAGGAATGCCACGTCATTCTGAATTATAGACTAATTTACGCTTTCTACTTGTCAGATTAATTTTACCGCCATCCTTATCAATTAATGTCTCTGTACTTTGCAGGATTATGCCCGTATCTGTTCAAAAGACCTATGTTCTGTAAATCTTATGGCTTTGGTGGCAACAGTTGTTGCAGGTTAGGAAAGCTAATAAACCTGAGCAGCAGGCAGGGCTTTTTGAGCTACTGACTGCTAGAGCCTCTCATGCTGTATTTCTGTCTCTCTTATTGGGCCTACCTTGACAGAATTGATCAATTAACATCATCTGTATTGAAAGAAAAATGCATTGAAAAATACAACTCATGCCCTAAGATTTCCTACCACGTGACATTGTTGACAAATAGATAACATTTCTTTGTCTAGTGATGTGCTTTTTAGTGCAGGTTAAAAGTGAGTCACAGGGAATTTTAATAAAACATTGCTTAATTCTCACATAGGGACCTAGCAGAAAAGTTAGAATATTGCATGTGGGATAGCTATGAAGTTATGGAGTGATTTGTGCAAGCTCTGTTTCAGGCTTGCTTGTTTGAAAATGAAGTGTTTTGTTTTGTTTTAATTTTTTGTTTTGTTTTGTTTTGGGTTTTTTTTGTGTGTTTGTTTGTTTTTTTTTTTTTAAGAAAGTATAATAAATAAAAATTGGGATAACTTATTCTAACGTAGAGGGACAAAAGTTAAATTATAGGCTCTTTGCTTCAGCAACTACATACCTACTTAACAGATTTTAGGAAGTATGACAACACAGTTGAATAGTCTTCAAATTTAAGGTACTAAACAGACAAAGAGGAACTCATAGAAACTATAGAATAATTTACTTTGAAGGGGACCTTTGGAAGTCATCTGGTCCAATGTCCTGCTCAAAGCAGGGTAACTCACATTTAGATCAGATTGAATACCAAATGTAAAATTTTAAATCCTAGGATTCTAAACTCTACTTTAAAAACTGTCTTCAGGTTTTGCTCTTAGGTTAGATCACAAGAAGAGAGTGATTTTATCAGGAAGAGACACCTTGGAAGGTCCCACCGAGATCTGTAGTATTTGTTTTACAATAACATTTAGGAAGAATTTCAGACATAGATATAATGTAAAAATGTTTTAGAAATGAAAACACATATAGTCTCACACCAATAAACTCTTCAGTTGATAAATGTAGGGCAGAAAAAAAAAATATATATGACATATCAGTATAAATAGAAATCTACCTAACTACAGTTTGAAGCTCCTAGAAGGCAGAATTTTGTATTCTGAGCACAGAAACTGTATTCTGAGAATCTACTGCTGCCTTTGCAAAATAACTGCCCTCTTGTTCAAAGATATCAGTGGTTAGTTGACAGACTATATCTATTACTCGTCTTTTCCTGTAAATGTGAATTGGAGTTCAATTAATGTAGTTTTTCAGTGTTAAGCTTTTCAAGTAAAAGTGCACTTTCCAACCATGAATTGGAAATTCATGTTATAATTCAGCATCTATTACAAAATATACTTATCAGAGACAAGTTAGTTTTTTGAATACTGGCACATTCTAGGTGGTATAACTAAATTATTTTAATTCTATTCCCTTTGTATAAAACATCTGTCCCTGTTTTGCAAGGCTTTTAATTGTCTTTGTGTTATTAGTTTGACTGTCATACTTTTTTTTTTTTTAACTATAATGATCTTCAAAGGAACAGAAGAGGTTTTTTTGAAAGAACTGAACTTGATGTTATTGAGGCCATTCATTGATCTATCAAGTATGTTTTCAAGTGCTGAACAGTATTCTTTATCTCTGATAAGGCATTGGTAATATTAGACCAGGTCTGGTGAAATAATCTTTGAAGCTAACTGTGTGCTGGGTTCCCACTTAGGACAAATGGAGTTCCAAGAACATATGAAATAAGTTCAGAAATGTATGTTTCCTTATAATTACAAACTGTCTTTGCTATGAATTGATTCTGCAATGTGCTAAGCAGCTTCTAGAGATTCTGGGTCTCACAACATTCCAATAAATGTATCAGCATCCCTTATTCTTGGGCCAGTAATTGCCTTCCTAGTTATGTTAGCCTATAATGACATGGACATTATATGATCTGTGTATTTAAGTAGTCTCCAGCTGATTTTGGTGTTGTTCCAAAACTGTGACAGATGTGTATGAAGAATAATCATGGTCAAATCTCATGCCTTTATGTGTTGACATCAGTCTAGTCATCTCATTACTGCATTTAAATTGGGATTAATTTAAATTTAAATTAATTAATTTAATAAATTTGGGATTAATTTTAGTTAACTGCTAAATATGCTTTATATTCTTTAAAAACTAGTAGATTGAATTCCATTGCAGAAAATTATGCATTTCTATGCTACATTTTTTTTTTTAACCTTATATTTCTTTCTCCTACCAAGAAGGGGGAGATTTGTCTGCTTTGTGATGTGTACTCTTGTTAACTGTTAACTTGTTAGATAGATTCATAGGCAGTACCACAGATGAGATTTGAGTGAGAAGTAAGTAAAGAAGTCTGAGACCAAGGTATTCTGATACCCCCTCCATGAGACTTGGTATGGCAATGTGGGAAGGATTTTTTAAAAATGGAAATACCAGTTGTTCTTCCAATTTTCCTAGCAGTATTGCAATAGGCTTCCATATGTGCTGTGATGGGCACTACTTTGAAGATCATCTATATTTTAATTCTTTCACCACAGACTGACAACTAAATAACTTGCAATAGCTTTTGAAAAGGGTCAGCTTTGGCCAAAGATTTGAGTGTGCAGAGAACACAGGACAGAAATGGTTTAGATGTGTCAGCTAACAGAATCAAATTTTTAAAATGTATTCATCATATTATTGTTGTTGGTTTTGGTTTTTTTTTTTTTTCACTGGTAAGTAAAAATTTCGGCATTCAGAAAGCTGAGGTTATAAGGGGGTATGAGTCATCTTTTTTGATATTGTGGAGGAGCTAAAAGGAAAGTCATCTCAATTGTGAATCATTTGGTGTGAAAAAAACATTGACTCTTCTTCATGCAATCCCCCAAACAAAATTAAATTTGAGAAGATTAATAATGTATTGTTTTCTCAACAGAGCATAAAATAGTTGATCCTAAAGGGATCTATTTGCTTGGTTTTGGTCACTCCATTTCTTGAAGCTTATTGCAGGAAAATAAATGGTCCATTGGTCAAAAGATCAAAGGAAAATTAGTGGGATAAAATGCCTTCCATGAAAGGAGTGTCTGTTTCTAGAAGAAAGATCTGGAAAAAATAATCAAATTAAATAAAAGGCAAGTTAAAAGTGACATGGAGGAAACTGAAAAAAACTAGAAATGGGTGGGATCCCACTGTTGAATATTTTTCAACCTATAAGAATAAAGGAGAATTTTCTTTGAAATGATAGGAGAAAGTCCAAATGATTATAGGTTTAGAAAATATGATCTAAAAAGTACAAATAAATGAGTTTCTGAGTCTATAAACAGAAGACTTGGAGAGACATCATAGCTTTCAAATAGGTAACAGTGAGCTTGTGTGAGAAAATAAATAAATTGTTCATCATGTTCTCTGAGGTTAAACCATGAAGCATGGACTTAAAGTACATCAGGAGAGCTATAGGTCAGTTATAAGGAAAATAATAGATATCTGTAAATGAGAATGAGTGATAAGGAAGTATTATGAAATCTTTCTAACTGAAGAGTTTTTAAAAACAGCTTAGTCAAGTATCTGTTAAGCATGATGCATGTTTCTATTTGGAGGAAGAGATGAAAAGGATGTTGAGTTTCCTAATCCCATACTGCCCAGTTAATATTAAAAAAAAAAAAATAAAAAGAGAGGCAGTTGAAACAAAAAGGAATTCAAAGTACCACAGATACAAGACAAGACTATTGTATTGAACAGCACATCAGGTATGATTTCAGGCAAAAGTAGTTGCTAAGTGTTTAGAATAATGCTTAAAGTAGTAGGGAATTTTTCTATTATGCATTTTCTCTTTGTAACTTTGAAGCATTTGACACTGGGTATTTTGAGAGACTTGATATTAATCTAGATGGACTGAACTAATTTTGTGTGGTGAGTCCTCTCTTTCTATGGTAAAAAAAAAAAAAAAAAGCATCAGGATGACTATATTGGTGCATTTTTCTAGGTGTGATACAAGCTTCTTTTTCTCCAACTGACAACACCCTCAAGACAAAGTTGATCTATGCTTTGATTTTTCCCCAAACTTTTAATTTTATTGAACACCCTGGGAAGTTATTTGCTCTTTTGTTTGCAGGTTTAAATATTTTGTCCTTCTGAAACCATATAGTTTCCGAGGTAGCATCATCAGAAGAGGTAGTATTTACTGGTACAAAATGTATTTGCCTTTTTTTCCTGAAGGAAGGCAGTTCACATTAAAAAGGTTCTCTGCCATACTTTACAGGGAAGAGGATGTTTGTAAGTAATTATATTTGGCTATTATGTTATAACTCAGGTAATAGTCTTCATACATTAACTTAAAGAAATTTTTCAACAATAGCAACATATCTTTTTATATATATTTTTTTTAATGTATATAAATCTGATTAACTAATCTTTCCTTGATATTTGTCTTTAACTTTGTCTAGGATTATTAACTTCCAATAACTGGGAATTTCTAAGACTTTTACTCAGTTACTTTACACAATTCTACTTTGTCTCCTCAGGACATTATGTGTACAGTCTAAGGAACGCTGTGAGTCTGTGCTTGGGATTGTAGGTCTGCAGTGGCCAGAAGACACCGACTGCACTCAGTTTCCAGATGAGAACTCAGACAACCAAACCTGTCTAACACCAGATGAGGATGTAGAAGGTAACTCCTATTAATACATCTAAGAGGAAATTAAAGATTTCTTTAGGTTTCCAAAGTCACAGATTTTTTTTTCCTGTATCTCCTATTTAAACTATAATATTTAAGGTATGGAAATTATTCCAAACTCAGTTTCAAGGAATTTGGATACTTACAGTTAGCAGATAAGAAGAAGTTCTCATAAGAAATTTATTCAAAGGAAGGATCAATTACCCTCAATCTGTGAAAGTCAGTGTTTGACATTTGTTGCTAACACCACACCTTCTTCTTGTTTGTGCTTATACTTCAGTTTTTTACCTAATTAGATGATATAATAATGCTTTTGTAACCAGGAGGCAGATTCTTGGCAATCTTAAAAAAGCTGAGCCCCATGACATCTCTGAGAAAAATATTGTAATGTTAGTGTCATTGCCAGCTATTTTTTGTTCTTGGTTTTTGTTAGGGGAAACCTTTGTAGAGAGTTGTGCCAAACCAGCTTCATTAGCAACTGACAAATTTAAATTTTTGAGTTTAGACATAATACTAATCATTGTGGGTATGAACATGAAGAAAAAGAATTAAATTGCCTTAAATGCTTTTAGATATTCTTTGTATGCATGAAGAGGGAAGCTGTGCAGCTTTTCCTTCTGCAGTGGTTATCAGATGTGAGATCTGTGAGGATTCAGACATGCCTTTTCTTTTTCTTATCAAAATGACAGGAAAGTAGCTGGGAAAACATTGAGATGATGTGTGCTACAGTGCCTGCAATATGCTGATGGTGTTCAGTTCTCACTCTTCTCCTCCCCCTCACCTACATGGTGATG